GGGGGCCCACCGCCTGGGTGCTGTTGAAGCAACAGGCCCTGACGCTACGGAGCCCCAGAGTTTTGGCGTTCTGACGGATTCGATCGATTTTGTTTCGGATTCTGTCCAAGGCCACCACTTCTCCCTAAAAAAAAACACAAAAAATACAACACAAAGAACGGTTCTTCACGGGGCGCGGAAATAAGCAGAAACTTTTTTAAAAAGCTGTGAGAATGCCAAGTGCTGAATGGAGGAAGAAGAAGGGAGAAGAAGCCAAAGAAAAGCTGAAAAAGAAAGAATCTACATTTTTTAAATTTTTAAAAAATTAAATTTTTTAAATTTACGGGGCACGGAAATAAGCAGAAACTAGAAAAAAAGCTGGTGCTGAATGGAGGAAGAAGGAGAAGAAGCCAAAGAAAAGCCGAAAAAGAAATAATCTAAATTGAATAGATGGTTTTGAATGATTTAATTTCAAATAAGGACTTTTAAGTGGAAGAAGAAAGGCAAAAGGATTAGAAGAACTGAAGAGTGGAAGATTTGAAAGGGATTTGAACCAGCAACTTCTCAAACTGGAGTCAAACACTCTACCATTGAGCTGTACCCCAATCAGAAAGGCTGCATAGGACTAAATAAGAAGAATTTAATAGGGGCGAAATGCCAGTGACCAAGAGATGGAGCAATGCTTTAGACTCCATTCATTTCAACGAGAGAAAATAAAAGCAGAAAAAGTTAAATCATTAAAAAAGTTGAAAAGATTTGAACACAAAACGTCATAGCTGCTGAACATTTTAAGACCTTATTTGTTGAAACAGGCTGAAAAATGTGGGCATTGTTAGACGCAAAAGAAGTGAAACAGGTAAAAAAAATAGTGATTATGCTAGTAGGAATTCTAACAATAGGCCTTTACAGGTCAGACTGAAAAACCAGATCTTTAATTTTTTGTAAAGATAGATAGATAAATATATATAGCATGAGTTCATAAAGCAGATACATGCATACGAGGAGAAAATGTGGAAAGCAATAGTGAGAATGCCAGTAGGAATTCTCACAATAAGCCTTTACAGCTCAGACTGAAGAGCAAGATCTTTAATTTTGTGTAAAGATAGATAAATATCCAACAGCAACTGGCCTCATCAACAAGACCAGCGAACCCCCACCTATTCTTCCCCCCCCCCTCTACCTCACTAATTTACCTAATGCTACTGTCAGCATTTTCTGGTCTGTCGTTGCAGATGAACATTGCACATTTCAATTGTTCATTTGCACATTCAGATCTATATTTTTAAAGTTTGTTCATTTGTACATTCGGATCTATATTTTTAAAGACTGTATTTTTCAGTTTTATCATTTCTGTCCTATATTTTTAATTTCTACATTTTATTTCTTGCTTCTCATAGAAGTGTTGTGTTGTGCACCTAACACCGAGGCAAATTCCTTGTAAGTCTAAAGACCTACTTGGCAATAAACCTTATTCTGATTCTGATGCATAGCATATATAGAGTTCATAAAGCAGATACATGAAAATGTGGAATAATTCCTCTAATAAATCAGCTTTTTTGTGTGATATGACACCATACCTGGTCGCCCATGAGAGATGCGATGTGGCAGGTTTTCCCCCCCGGGGCGGCGCACATATCCAGGATCTTTTCCCCCGGGCGGGGCCCCAGAACGTGCCCCACCACCACGGACGGGAGGTTCTGAAACACAATTTAATACAGTTTTGAATGATTCAATTTCAAATAAGGACTTTTAAGTGGAAGAAGAAAGGCAAACGGATTAGAAGAACTGAAAAATTGGAAGACTTTAAATGGGATTTGAACCAGCAACATCTCAAACTGGAGTCAAACACTCTACCATTGAGCTGTACCCCTGTCGGAAAGGCTTCATAGGACTACATAACAAGAATTTAAAAGGGTGGAAATGCCAGTGACCAGCAGATGGAGCCATGCTTTTGACTCCATTCATTTAAATGACAGAAAATAAAAGCAGAACAAGTTAAATAACTTAAAAAGTTGAAAACCTGCAGGAACACCAGGCCGGGGAGGACGCCGTCAAAAGAGGGACTCCGGTAAAGAGGCTCCACCATCCGCACCGCCACGCCTCTAAAAGCACACAGAACACTCAGAAATGAGACCCAAAGGCTTAGTTTGGGGGGAATTATTTATGTGGACGGTCAAAATGACTATCAAAATTCAATTAAATATGCTCAGAAGGTATTTTTCTTCCAAATAAAGTCAGTTTTCTGCTCATTTTCACTTTCCCAATCTTATTTCTTTATTATTACCATTAAAACTTATGATTTGAACATTTCATCCTAAGATTTTAATGTAAAAAACACACTTTTTGTCTTTCTCATGGTGTAAATTGACCATCAAAATTAAATTAAATATGCTGGGCATCAGTTTTTTCCTCCAAATAAAGTTAGTTTTCTGCTCATTTTTCACTTTCCCTATCTTATTTCTTTATTATTACCATAAAACTTATGATTTGAACATTTCATCCTAAAATTTTAAAGTAAATAACACACTTTCTTTCTTTCTCATGGTGTAAATTGACCATCAAAATTAAATTAAATATGCTCGGAATCAGTTTTTTCCTCCAAATAAAGTCAGTTTTCTGCTCATTTTTACTTTCCTAATCTTATTTCTTTATTATTACCCTTAAAATTTATGATTTGAACATTTCATCCTAAAATTTTAATATAAAAAACACACTTTCTTTCTTTCTCATGCTGTAAATTGACCATCAAAATTAAATTAAATATGCTCAGACGGTATTTTTCTTCCAAATAAAGTCATTTTTCTGCTCATTTCCACTTTCCCAATTTAAAATTTTAGGATAAAATGTTCAAATCATAAGAAGCTTTAATAATAATGGTAATGATAAAGAAATAAATGTAAAAAACACACTTTCTTTTTCTCATGCTGTAAATTGACCATCAAAATTAAATTAAATATGCTCAGAAGGTATTTTTCTTCCAAATAAAGTCAGCTTTCTGCTAATTTCCCCTTTCCCAATTTAACATTTTAGGATGAAATGTTCAAATCATAAGAAGCTTTAATAATAATGGTAATGATAAAGAAATAAATGTAAAAAACACACTTTCTTTTTCTCATGCTGTAAATTGACCATCAAAATTAAATTAAATTCGTCAGAAGGTATTTTTCTTCCAAATAAAGTCAGTTTTCTACTCATTTCGACTTTCCAAATTTAAAATTTGAGGATGAAATGTTAAAAAAATCATAAAAAACTTAATGGTAATAATAAAGTAAATGTAAATAACCTGGCCGGTTCCTCGGTGCGGAATATCCCGGAACGATCCATTTCCGCCACGCCGTTCCCCACGAAGGCCTTGTTCCCATGGAAACCGGCGGCCCCGCGGGTGCACCGGCCCTCCAGGTCCGAGAAGACGGAAACCAGGTCGCCCGCCTTCATGTCTACAGGTCAGAAACACAAGAGAAAGATTCCCGGGGGAACCAGGACCAGAGGGTTCTGGGTTGGAGTCCCCGGGGGAACCAGGACCAGAGGGTTCTGGGTTGGAGTCCCCAGGGGAACCAGGACCAGAGGGTTCTGGGTAGAAGACCCCAGGGGAACCAGGACCAGAGGGTTCTGGTTGGAGTCCCGGGGGAACCAGGACCAGAGGGTTCTGGGTTGGATTCCCCGGGGGAACCAGGACCAGAGGGTTCTGGGTTGGAGTTCCCGGGGGAACCAGGACCAGAGGGTTCTGGGTTGGAGTCCCGGGGGAACCAGGACCAGAGGGTTCTGGGTTCGAATCCCGGGGGAACCAGGACCTTTCTGGGTGGTTCTGCATGTTCTCCTGTGTCTGTGGGTTCTCTCCGGGTTCTCCGGCTTCCTCCCACCGTCCAAAAACCTGCATGTTAGGTTGGTTGGACTCCAGACTGCCCTTAGTGTGAGTGTGCCTGGTTGTGTGTCTCTGTGTGTTTTGGAGTCCCTAGTGGAACCAGGACCAGAGGGTTCTGGGGGGGTGTTTAGTTCTCACGTTTGGGGGCGGCGACGACCCCCGGCCCGAAGACGTTTGCCCCCCGGAGGACGGCGCCTCCACACTGGGC